TTTAAGTATCAGATCGATAGGTATAATTTCTACATTAGGTACAGACAGATGTTTTTGGTGTTCACTACTACAGTGTTGAGTATTTGACTTATTACCGTTAAGATCACTGATACAACTATGCAAAATTGAAGACAATGAATAAAAAAGAAAATTAATCGCTAGTTTGAGCATCATTTCACTTTTATTTAGTTCTAGCTCAATATTCATCAAATGAATTTTTTTGTTTTGTTAGTAACGATACCTTTTCATGGTATCAGATGTAATGAATCCTAACTTTTCAATAGGGCCTGTGTAGAAAAACACTAATGTAATAAACATATCTATATTGCAAAAACGGCTTGCTTGATTGCATTGGTGTCTTCGAGAAAGTTGTGCAAAATTAAAATGCAATTCTTGAAAAAAAAAATAAACGGTTGAAAAACATGTGTTTTTAATGTAAATGTAAAAATCGTGAAATTTTCAAAAAATCAACTTTTTTGTTTTTGAGTTTACCATGACCAAACTTTGCCAGTTTGTAGCAAAAATTATGAGCTTCAATGAGGCTTAAAACAAATGTACTTTTTGAGAAATTAATTTTTTAATAAGAAATATATATTTTTTTTTTCGTTGAGGCAAACGAATTTTTTTACAGTGTATATTTTTTACATTATTGCCAAAATAATATGTACAACTTTGCTCAAGACACCAAATTAATCGAACAAAGCGTTTCAGCAATATAAATTTTTTAACTCATTAGTACTATTTTTACACAGGCCCTGTTAGAAAAGTAGTCGTGATTCAATTTGAAGAACTGATAACACAAATTGGCATCTTTACTAAAAAAGAACAACTGTGCAAATTTTCATCAAAATCGGAGCCGACAAATTAAAAAAAAAATTAAAAAATTCGTCAATCTGTAGAGAATTGCTCAGCTGAGCTAATTTCAAGCAACTTTGTTGGAAATAACTTTTTTTTATCTCTTAAATTGGCCGATTTAGAGCTAGTTTCATGAATTGAGTTAGGGTTGCTCTTAAAAAACAGTTTTTTTGCTCTATTTTTTTTATTTCGAATTTCTCAGCAAAGGTGTCTTCAGATAACTTTTAGATCTTAAGAAGGCGCAATGCTGCACAAAACTTGTCAATATCTTTCGCCGATCAAGAGTTATTGACGTTTATATACTAAAAATATGCACTTTTTAAATGTTAATATCTCTGGTTGGGGCAAACAAAAAAAAGTTTTTTTGCAGCATTTGAAAGGGCGTATGTTATTCTCAATAATATGAAAAAATGGAGGTGTGTGTGTGTGTGTTCAATCTAACCCCCACTGGCCGGCAGTGGTATTATGGAATAAATTTGCTTACAACAATCCTTGATGTAGTAATTTAAAGCAAGTTTAGTCCGGGAGTTAGAAGGCGATAGCTCTACTGCAGATTCAGCAACCCATTTCAGAGTGCCTGGTAATTCACGTCCATTCCGAGGTTACTTTCACATACAATAAGCTCCGCATGTAAACACTACCGTTATCATATGAATAATGGTACTGCAAACACACTTCCAGATTTCGAAATGAATAATATGAAAAAATTGGATGTATGTTATTTTTTAAACTCGTATAAAATCAATTTGAATTTATTCATATTTTTAACAATATACGCCTGTTAATGATGTCCCTCAAAGAAGCGTACATGATTTTTGTTGATGAATATAAAGATATTAATATTGGTTTCACTGTATTTACACAATTGCGACCAAAACATTGCATTTTGCTTGATTCTACTGGTATACATAATGTATGTATTTGTACAATTCATGAAAATGTAAAATTAATGATCAACAGTTTAAGAATTATGTCACAAGATGCAATAATAGAAAAAAATGCTTTGTAATATTTCTACTAGAACAACTGATTGCTTTTTCCGTACTTGCAAAAAGTGTGCTTCCAATGAACATATTGAAGAGGAACTTACTTTGCTATTAGAATCAAATGACAAACAAGATGTTGTGTTTCAACAGTGGCTGAATACTGATCGTTGTAATTTGGAAACGATTATCAAGCCTGTTTATGAATTTATTCCGTATCTCATTGATAAATAACTCATGACTTTATTTACAAACAACAGTCATCTTTTCTAAGAAATGAAAAAGAAGGCGAAATTCTAGCAATTTGTGATTTTTGGATATCACTGGAATAATTCTCAAGCAAACATACATCCATTTGAAGTTTATTATAGGAAAGACAATAAACTTGAAAATGTTAGCTTCATTATCATATCAGAAGTAATGACTCACGATACAGTTGCAGTTCAGTTGTTCATCTCAAAAATGATAGATTTTATTAAACAATTGATAGATTTTTCTAAAATTACTTTTATGTCAGATGGGGCAGCATCACAATACAAAAATAAAAAAAAAACTTTGCTAGTCTGTGTAGATTTCCGTCAAAGCATGGATTAGAAGCAGAATGGCACTTTTTGCAACGTCTCATGGAAAAGGTCCCTGTGATGCCATTGGTGGCACTCTCAAGCGAATGGCTAGCTCTAGCTCGAGATTATGGAAACACCATAACAACTCCACGAGAATTATATAACTGGGTTGAACAAACAGATAAAAATATCACAAAACTACGTTTCGAGTACATATTCACTGTACAGTACATCGAAATGTCAGAAGAACTCGAAGAACTATATAACAGCACAAAGACAATATCTGGCACACAGAAATTCCACAGTTTTGTGCCTATAACTGGTGACAAAGTAGCGGCAAAAAGGTATTCTAATTCAGAAGATGAACCAAAAATATTTAACCTGATTGGAAAAAGGAAAAAATAGCATGTATGAAAATAGGTTTAAAACATTGAAAATATATAAATAAATGATATATGAAAAATATTGTCTTTTTTCTCTCACATATTATCAAATTTTGCATCAGTAGTAGACAACAGAATAAGGGAATGATATTTTTTTTGACAAGGTCTACATGTCCAAATAATTTTATTGAACTCTGAGCGGGTGCTGCCAATTCCAAATACGATTTGGCGAGAAATGTATCATGAGCCCTTTTCATATGAAATTCTTGATTAATCAAAGTGAACTTAAGTGCTGATTAGACAAAATTGAATCGCAAATTGAGCTTCATTGGATTCTGAGATGATTTTGAGCTTCACTGGTTTAGTTTTGTGTGAAAATGGCAAATAAAAAAAAAATCAGTTCAGACATGAAAAAGTTTTTGTAAGAAAAACTTTTTTTTCCTTAAAAGTGCCCATCTCGCTATGTATGGACGGATGGTAGTAAACATAATAACCTATCTTGAGGCATAGTTTCATCCAAATCAAACATGGTCATTTTTTTTAAATCGACTTTAAATTTTAAAAATCGATTTTTTTTCAGTGTAGGTCTCAAACGAAATTTTTTTCAGTATTTTTTTTCGATAACTTGGACCATTTCCTAAAAGTCATCAATACAACAGATTTTTGTTGGAGTTGTCATTTTTCCATAATATTTTTTTAAAAAAACGGCAGAAAAAGTTTGGCCCTTCTCAAATGTTAGTCTAGATAAATTTTGGAAAAACTAAGTATGCAAAGTGGCATATTTAGTCAAGGTCCACACATCCAGAAAATTTCATTGAAATCTGAGAGGGTGCTGCCAGCTCCGAATACGATTTGGCGCGAAATGCGTCTATATTAACACAGGTACATTTTCACTTAAAATGTAGGTAAACTTAAATTTAATTTCCTGTAGGAACTAACATGTGTTTCTTTGATTACTGAAAAATCCTGATCCCCTATCAGTAACGCACCATGAAAAGGTGATCGACCAGCGGTACTGATTCTACAAGCACTGGACAGCCGTATATGTCTAAAAACTCAAAATACTTGCAACTTACTTAGGTCAGTGTTGATTTAAAGACTGTCGGCTCCGTATAGTTTTTTTATCAATGGAAATAAGCAAATTGAAAAAAAAAACCTTCAGAAGTTTAGAAATGTGCATGTTTGCAAAGTATGATTCAGTTTTCTTCGGTGCATTTTGCCAGTTAGTTTTGAAAATCTGTGGGCAACCCTGCTCTTGGTTCATTTGTGACATCGACATGACATGACCGGGATGATATTTGAACTCTTGACTTTAACATGAGAGGTATGGATATTAACAACTACGTCGGGGCCGTCTCCGAAATCACAGATTGAAAACATAACAAAGACACATGGTTTCCGTTCTGTGGCCCCACTACTGAGCTGATGGTTTTCCTCTGTATGTTGACCTTCGTTTTTTACAATTAAAAACCCACATCGAACACCGAAAGGAAAATCAATCAAATCACGGAATTTCAGTAGATAAAGGTCGACAGTATTTGCACACACGATGTACAGACATTGTTTATCTTATCGTTTTTCCTTCCTTCGGTTAGTCATCTTCTAATAACCGTATGTGCTCGTTGTATTTACTTATACGTGTAGGCAGTGCGAATAACAGTCAGAGCTTCGAACTTCGAGTCATGTTTTGTTTATGTTATCTGTTGTGTAGTACGAATTTATAGAGTTTTAATTATCTCGAGAAGACATCGCATGGTCCGGGCCGCACCCTCCCTGCGTTGCCGCGATCCATTGAAACACAGCTGATGAGGCCGTCCGACATATGCACCCTCAAGTTATCCCAACTATGGGCGCGGGGGGTGTTTGTGTGGGTTTTATTTTTGTAATTCGACTTTGGAGGAGTTGGATAGAACACACTCGATGCAGCCAAAACAAACTTTTAACGACGTGTAAAAATCACATCACCATCAATATCTCCATAACCCTCGGCGAACCGACTGAGATGCAACTACCTACTTCTACTCTCCGGCACTCTACTTGGGACAGTAAAAACTATGTACATACAGTCCAGTCCATTAACGCATTCGGATGCAATCGCTTGGATGGACGGTTGCACATGGCCTGATTTACGAGTAATTGCATTAAACTTACATTGCTTCTTCTTCTTCTTCTTCCTGTTCTTTCCTCCCCTTGAACCAATGTTCATTCCTCGACAGATTTGTGGTGGCGCCCAGCTGGTGATTGGCGCGTTCCTGCTATGGACTCATCGACAGTATTCGACGATAGTTAACGATCAGTTTTGGGAACCGTTCGCGGTCATCATCGTGCTGGGGCTGGTCTCCCAGATGCTCTGCTACCTCGGATGGACATCGACGAGCAAGAAGCACCGATGTTACTTAGGAACGGTGAGTACTTTTGTTTTGCATCCTTTTTGTATCTTCTCAAACCACAAATCGTGGATAGAATCTGCATAGCTCGATTACTTTTTCAAAGGGACGTATCTGCTTTGGTAAACATTTGAAACATTAAATTTTTTGATTAAATGGTAATATTTCCCCAACAAGATTGTGCTGTTAGCTTGCGTGAGAGTGCTAAGAGTTTGAGCTACAAACTGACGGTTTGAATCTTTATTTGCAAAAGCAGATACGTGCCTTTGGAATAGTAATCGAGATTGGTACATAGCTGCGCAGCAATAGTAACTCATTAGGTTGGCCTTATGGAGCCGTTTAGTCGGTAGATGTTACTGCATTGCATCTTGTACATCACATCTTATCTTATCTTAAGTGGTGACTGGAACGTTTCTTGATTGCAGAGTGCTTCATTGAATGACACGTTGCTACTCAAATCTTAATCAATTCATACAGGAAAATCATCAGATACAATACAAAAACTGTCAAAAAAATCAGGCAAAAGGCGGTGTCAGAAACACATATTATGCTGTGTTCTCGTTCGAGTCTGTCTTTAATTTTAATTTTTAACGTCTACAAATCTTGTCCCTTTTATAACTCCACTGCATTGATTTTTTCTTCAATATTACTAGACTGGTACAAAACTATAAATACCACCATTACAATGGGTTGGTTCAATGACATTCCTCCGAGAACTATTCCCTAGAAAATATGATGAAATTATTAATTCATTGAGTAATTCTAAACATTCGCCCGGAAATTAAAAATGAACCCTGTAGTATGCACTAGTATCGTTCAAAATACCGTGTCATATTACAAATCGTTATTAAATCGATTGAATTCATTTCATCATGAATAACCCTGATAAAATCAGGAATTTATTGCATCATTTTCTTAAAATCGCTAGTAAAAGGTCGTCTTAAAACTGTTCGACAATATGCATCGCAAATAAGGAAGAATGCGTTAAGAATTCAAAATGGATGAGAGCTTTATTTGGTTAAATCGAGAAATAATATTTTAAATATGGCTAGACGATGACAAGATTTTGCTTGTCTATTTAATACCGCGAAAAACTTAGTGGCAAATAGGATTGCTTATAGTTATTTTCCTGAATATCCAGTATTTAAATGAATACAGTGGTTATTTTTCGAGCACCACAAAGCCGTAGTCGTGACTTCGATGCCTCGCGAATTTTTAAACGGTGGTCAATTTAACTAAATGTACTTCAGCAAATACCCCAGAAGACTATTAGAATGACTCATATATTGAATCTAAAAATGCTATGGTCAACAGCAGGCTGCACTCGTTTCGGATGAAAAAGGCCTACAAAGGATTGGCACGATCCAGAATAAACAACCGTTGCATAATGGGAAGCAGTGCAATTCATAAATATGGATCGCCGTTGAACGCCTTTGTTTGACACATTGGGAATAAATACACACTAAACAGCTTGCTGTGTTACCGTGCATTACATATTGAGCAACTAGAGTTACTCAGAGTTACTCAAAACTAACTCCAACGCCATGTTGCACACTGTTTCCAAAGGTGCAAAAACGTGATCGAAATTGTTTTGACCTCTTAAACTTGATTTTTATGCTATAGTGTCTTCAGCAAAGTTTTTCTATGAAATATTTCACATATTATAGAGGTATCAGTTTGGTGATTAATCCCCCTAAAAGTGAAATGCAAATTTTCGTTTTCCTATTTTTGCATATAAAAATTTGCTTTGTTCGGCAAAGTTGTAGGAAATATTATTAGAAAAAGCTTTGCCAAAGACACCATACGTCTATCTGTTGAGTAGAATGGGTTTTTGTGGAGTTTTCTTTGAAACACCCCTAAAAACTAGTTTTTTTCAAAATTACTTTTTCTGGTAATTTTCTACAATTTTCTAATGTTCTACAAATTTGTCACACTCAAAAAAATACACAACTTTCACGGAAAAAGTGTATTTTTATCTCTCATACTTATTGAGTTATTGAAGATTTTAATCTAAAAAACGCATCTTTTTGGTATTGAAAATCTCTACAAGCCGCAAATTTCCGCAGATGAAACCATTTACATATGAAACTATACAGTAATCACTATTGAATCCATGTATAACCGTTTGTCTCTCGCTGTCCCTTGCATGTAAAAACAAACACTCAAAAATCGACGAAATTGTACTGGTGAGAACGCCCAATTCTATGCTCGCAAGCTCTCGCGCGTCTCGTGCGTGGAAATTAAGTGTTGTCAGAGAGACGATTTTGACTGTGAATACTTAAATGGTTTAGAAATGTAATAAATAGCTGTATACTCGTTATGTTTCATGTTCTAAACATTTCACAGAATTTTTTTTATTTACCGGATATCGTGACTTTTTTATCACTTTATTTGGCAACCATGATCTCATGCGTTGTTTACAATTAGAGACGTTGAAAGCAGCTTATTGCTTAGTGTGGTCGAAAGTCTAGTTTCAACTAAAATAAGGTTTAAAACATTACCGAAATATGGCGTCATCCTCAACAGGTAAGTTTGAAAGTTATTTCTGTAAAATGCAGACCAGATAACAGATAATAACAATCATCACTGCAGACCTGTTACACCGATTGCTGGAGACGTCCGATCCTCTAATTTCGTCCATTAGAGGATTTCCGAAGAAAAAGGATACTCCATTATCGAAGGATGCGAAAAATCTTTTGGTCGAGTCAGATGACGATTGAGGCGATGATAAAAGTGATAGTGAGGATTAACAGCGATATTTGATTGATAATTTGAGAGAAAAGAAATCAACAGTTGAAAACCATACCTCATATTGTTTTAAATTTCTTGGAATTCTATTTCTGGAAACCTTCCATGGCATTAGTAGTTGCATATAGTAGAATAAGGCATTCCATGAGACAGTTGTCGTAAGCTGATTTTTTTTTGTTTACCAAGAAGTTTTGACAGTTCACAGTTAAACTGACAGATATTTTCCATAGAAAACAGCTTTGTTTATATTTACATTTTGTATCAGGCAATACCTGATCTCTCACACACTTAAAGCTTTTCAGCTATCGGGTCAACTGCAAAACGTCTCATGGATAGCCTTATTGGGCTCTTACCAGTACAATTTCGTTGATTTTTGAGTGTTTGTTTTTACATGCAAGGGACAGCGAGAGACCAACGGTTATACATGGATTCAATAGTGATTACTGTATAGTTTCATATGTAAATGGTTTCATCTGCGGAAATTTGCGGCTTGTAGAGATTTTCAATACCAAAAAGATGCGTTTTTTAGATTAAAATCTTCAATAACTCAATAAGTATGAGAGATAAAAATACACTTTTTCCGTAAAAGTTGTGTTTTTTTTTGAGTGTGACAAATTTGTAGAACATTTAAAAATTGTAGAAAATTACCAGAAAAAGTTATTTTGAAAAAACTAGTTTTTAGGGGTGTTTCAAAGAAAACTCCACAAAAACCTATTCTACTCAACAGATAGACGTATGGTGTCTTTGGCAAAGTTTTTTCTAATAATATTTCCTACAACTTTGCTGAACAAAGCAAATTTTTATATGCAAAAATAGGAAAACGAAAATTTGTATTTCACTTTTAGGGGGATTAATCACCAAACTGATACCTCTATAATATGTGAAATATTTCATAGAAAAACTTTGCTGAAGACACTATAGCATAAAAATCAAGTTTAAGAGGTCAAAACAATTTCGATCACGTTTTTGCACCTTTGGAAACAGTGTGTGTTGAACTCCAAGATGGCGGCCATCGGTTTTTGAAAAACTGTCAAATACCCACAATATGGGTATTTTTGAAACCAGGACGACGTGTAGATGTCAAAATTCGACGTCCGCTGCCATTTTGGAATCCAAGATGACGGACATCGGTTTTTGGAAAAAGCTGTCAATTACTCTGCAATATGGAAATTTTTGGAATGGATTCGACGTGTACAGGTTGAAAATCTATGTCTGCTGTCAATTTTAGATTCAAGATGGCGGTCATCGGTTTTAGCGAAAAAAATAAGAGCTGGGAGGAAATGCTATACCGTATGCGTGATAATGTTTGCACCATTGAGCAATACCAAATTTAAAAAAAAATTCTGAAAAATTTCGTTTTAGAGTTTGCACCATTGAGCAATATCAAAATTAAAAAAAATCTCAAAAAATTCGTTTTTGAGTTTTTTTTTTATTTATTCAAAGGGCGGATGTTTCCCAGAGTCTTAAACTATGTTAATCATCGATAGAGTTTCCACTTGCTGCAATTACGGCCCCCACACGCTTCCGGAATGCACGGCAAGTTCTAAAAATGTAGTCTGGATCCATTTCTCTCCAGTTACGGATCAATGTTTGTCTGAGGCTTGCTGTACTCGGGTGGCGTTTAGAACAGGCCTTGGTCTTCATGACGCGCCATATTGAGTAATCCAGCGGATTAAGATCGGAGATGGATGGCGGCCACATATCCTTCGCCCAGAACGGAAGATGTTCCTGCAACCACTTCTGAGTGCGGTTCGAGGTGTGGCACGGAGCCCCATCTTGTTGAAATACAACATTTGGCTTCGGACCGTACTGTTCTTTGATCCACGGAAGAAAATACTTACTTAAAATCCCGATGTAGACATCCGTGTTGACCTTGTCACCTTCTGGAATGAACACCGCGTCCATTTTTTTGTTATCGGAAGCCACCATCCAAACACCATAACGCTAGCAGGATGCTTGGTCAGATACACGTTCTTGTGCTCGTCGGCCACGTCTTTTACCGGAAGAGAACTAATATACCGGTCGGTTCTGGAATTTGATACGGGATCGACGGTAAACATGCTCTCGGTGGTGAACAGGATTACCGGTTTTTTTTCGCTTGAGAAGTCAAGATTTTCTTGCATCGTTAGACTCGTAGCTCCCGAATACGGTTAGTAATCATGTGAGTTTTTTCCGTGCTCTCGACTTCACCCCGCAATCTTACTTAACGATCTTCCGGGCCGTAAAGTCACTGATCCCGTGTTCCTTTGCCATTTTCCTTATTAAACGCA